AGAGGCCTGCTGTCTGATGTGCTGATTCTGGGATTCACCAACCGCACAGTCCCATGGGCCAGTGGCCTATCATGTGACCCGATTCACCAGTTTCCGCAGCCTTGGGAGCCAGCAGCCTGAGGTCTGAACTGCCGGTTTGGGTTCGTCAGCTCCTGTAGCCACGTCGGTTGGGAGAAGCCTATGCCTGACCCACGAATCTGGGACTTGCCAACTCCACAATCGCATGAGCAATTTCCTGTACGTAGTTCATGAGTTGAGACACTGTAGTGAACTAGGGAGAGTATTGAGGCAAGAGGGAGTAGTTGATGTTAGAGATGCTGGAGTGGTACAGCAGCTTGGAAAAGCTGGACCTTTGGGGCATCTTTAACCTCCGCCTCATAGGAACCAGCTTTATGCTGATCCTTTTAAAAGACATTATTCATTCAGGGGCTCGGAGAAGAAACCAGGAAACTAGGTAAGTGTGAAGTCTCTTGGCCAAGTGAAAAGAATTTTAACAAGAAAAGCATCAAATGTCTCAACTCTGACAAAAATATCAGAAAGGAAAAGAATAATACTACAAATTTGGCTTAAATTCAAGATAGAGTTTTACTGAGAACATATTATATGCAGGTATGACATATATTAAGTAGAGAAACATATATTAAGAAGACATCGACTTTGCTCTCAAAAAGGTTAAAAATTAGATGTGGAAAAGGGACTCATAACTGTAACAAAGCATTGGAAGTGAAGAATACATTTAGCAAAGTACAATCAAAGTCCAATAGGAGTCCGAGGATGGAGAGCCTGCTTCCCATGAGCCAGTCAGGGGAGGCCTCTCAAAGAGGTGACGTCTGAAATAGGCCTGATAATCGATTAATATCAGACTTTATGGAGATATCTAGGACGCCATTTTATTCCATTAAAACTGAAATTGTAAAGCCCAAGAACCCAGGCCAGAATAACAAATCCTGTAAAATTACATTTATCTTATATTGATAACGGATCATTAAGCAGAAATAAACAAGCAAAAAGTTTTACAAGCAGAGTTGAAAGGATGTCATCACCATGCTGTGTTTAGGTCTATCCTGAGCTCCTGAGATGCTGGCTTCTTGTTCCAAAAATAGAAGAGTAGCTCCTCATATTAACTGTATAAGAACAGAGATAGAAGTCATTCTACATAGGTGGAGGTGAGAAGTGAGAGAAAAGAGAGAAGGGCACTGGGAGGAGAAGAAGAACTGAGGACAGAGAAACAACTTGGGGCAGGGGCAAGAAAGATGGATACAAAGAACTCACCAGCTCTGCGATTCCTAAACCAAAATATAAAGACAATGAGAAGCACCAGGGGCAAGATCACTGCCAAGATGATCCAGGCCGTGGAGTTGTCATGGTCTGTGTATTTGGGTACACAGAAGGATGTCATTTCAAATCTGCTCCATTTAACCCCTGTGTAACCACATTTCCCTAGCCTTCCTTTGTCCATCTGAGTGCCTGCCTCAATAATCTCCTTTCTTCCTATTTCTTCTCTCCTCCCACTTCTGGGAAGAATGTTTCCTATAACCCTCAACATAGT